CGAGTTTGAACTCTTGAAAAAGAGTTGATTTGAACCGAAAGTTCGGTTAATAAGCCAAGGAAGAAGCTCCTGTTGCTGGTCTCCAAAACTCCTTGTTGCTGCAGAACGCGGCAAGATGCTCGATCAAGGATCCCCAAAAAGTCAGCTCCCCCCCTCCAAAAAAGAGAGGATCCGAACTCAGTTGAGTTTTGAGGTATTTATAGGGGGTTAAGGGTATAACCGCCCCCTTAAATATCTCCTTAATGAGGGTTTAATGGGGTCTAACTGCTCCCCATAAATCTCTCCATGATAGGGTAGTGATCCCCTAAAATCTTGGGGAGAAAACGGTTCTGGAACCGTTCAAATCGTGCTTGAACGAGTTAAACGCTGAAAACAGCGTTCTGGGCTCGAACTGTGCGTTTCTGGACCTGAAACGCACAGTTGAGGTTGAAAAACGCACAGCTGGGGCTGAAAACGCACAACTGGAGCTGAAAAACGCACAGCTGAGCCGTAAACGCACAGTTGAGCCGTAAACGCACAGTTGAGCCGTAAACGCACAGTTGGCCTGTTTCAGGCTAAAAACGCACAGTTGAACCCATAAACGCACAGTTGAGCCGTAAACGCACAGTTGGCCTGTTTCAGGCTAAAAACGCACAGTTGGCCTGTTTAAAGGCTGAAAACGCACAGTTGTGCTGTTTTAAAGATTAACTCTGCGTTTCTAGATTGAAAACGCAGAGTTGAGCCTGTTTAAAGGCTGAAAACGCACAGTTGTGCTGTTTTAGCGATTAACTCTGCGTTTTGATGTTGAAAACGCAGAGTTGAGCATGTGCGCTTTGACTCTGTAATGCAGAGGCGAACCTTAGGCGGGCTTGGCGGGCTTCAGGCTAAGTCCAATGTTCTGATGAAGTCCAGTCTTGCAGACGGACCTCAGAACATAATTTGCTGCGAAGAACAGGTCATAACTTTCAAACCGTAAGTCAGAATTAGACGAATTATATATGAAAATCGGCTATCTCGACGAGACGGGGCCATCCGAACCGAGCCAAAGGCTTCGGTTCGCTTCCTACGTTTTGCCAAATTCCTTACGGTTTGAGAGATATCTGCATTTTAATATGAAGAGACCGTTAATTTGTAGTCTCTTTTGCTAGAGCTTTGCACAGATCGTCCTCTTGTAATCTTCGTCTTGGCTCCTTGAAAATATGAGAGTCGTCAGGTTGTAACTCCCGATGTTGATTGTGAAGGCTGTTGAATTGGGGCCTCCATTAGTTGTTGTGAAGGTCGTCAGATTGTAACCTTCTACGTGAAAGTCCTCCAATTGTAGCCTTCTGGAAGTTATCAGATTGTAACTTCCATCATCGGTGTTTGATGGGGGATCAACTATCTATTATGATTTTTAGACAGCCTACAGTACCAAATCACAAGGCAGACTCGTGAGTATCACCATGCCGATATTTACTACAATAATCAATCCACATCTCCAATGCGATTTGATCTCTACGAGACCTCCACTCATCCTTCGAGGCGTTCTGTTCTCTTACTGTCTGGGACTGCGTGAAATTCATAACGTTGGCTTCTTCATTAATTTCCTCTTCGACATCCTCCTCTTCAATGTCATTGGTCTCATTGAGCAATTCATCCTCGGGATCAACTGTTGCAATGTACTTATGGAGAACCGTGCATGCCAGAACGATGTCAACTTGTGCGGGGAAAGGGTAGTGGGGTTTTGAGGTGAGAATCTTGAAATGGTTCTTCAATATACCGAAGGTAGCTTCAATCTTTGACCTCAAAGATGAATGTCTAAGATTGAATAGCTCCCTCCTATTTTTAGGTGTTCTCCCCGTAAATTCCTTTAGATGATAACGAACACCACGATATGGGGATATGAAACCCGGCTGGGTTGTGTAGCCCGCATCACACAAGTAATATTTTCCTACATATTACACAGTATTTTAATAAGATCTGTATAACGTAACAATTATTGAGGAATCACAATTTGAGTTAACAAGAATTTTACCAGGGTACACCCGTAAGCCATATGGTTGTGGTCTAGACAGAGCATCCTGAAGGATTCTATAGTCGTTAGCCGACCCCTCCCACCCGGCTAAAACATAAGTGAACAGTTTGTTTGGTGTACAAGCGGCGAGTATATTTTGTGTGACACCTTTTCGCCCTCTGAAATGCGATACAAGTGTAGCAGGTAGCATAGCATCCACATGTGTCCCATCTATCATACCTATGCAATCCTATGGAGTACAACCTACTATGTTAAAGTAATTTAAGATTTCTTTAGAAAATTGTTTTGGAAAAATGGTAGAGTGGATGATATACCTTGAAAAATGGATAAAATGATGGGTTACTTAGGATCTCTTGAGGTACTTCATTCGGTGCTTGTTTCATAAATCGGCCTTGTATGCACGAAATAGCTTGCAGAACTCTATTGAAGTATTTACTGATTGTATCCCCTGATCTTATGAACTGTGTTCTCATCGTACGATTTTTGGATTTATGTCCCAGAATATTTAAAGTTATGGCAAGTTGCTCCTCTACTGTTACATGCCTTGAGTCCTTTAAGAGATCTAGTTTCCTCATTAACGTTGCTAGTTTCATAAATGCACCCGGGCACATTCTAACAAAGTTTTGACAGCTATCACTATAACCGTGAAATATTCGTGTCATCAAATCAGACCTAGTCTTTTCCCTCCTTAATTTCTCATCACTTGGTCCAGTCCGTATTGATCTACGTCGACATTTAATTCTCCCCAAAAATGTAAAAATTATTACCATGACCGAAAATGCAGCACCAACACACATTCTTTTAACAACCTCTTCATCATCAAAATCACCATCCATCTACAATATTTAGGACGCAGTTAAAATATGAAAAAAAAATCCAAAAAAACTTTTCACTATCATTCTTTTTTTTTTGTAGTCAGGGCTCTGGTCTTTAAATAATCAGTCGAGAGTAGACAAATGAACAATTTATGTGATTTGAACAAAATTAGAGATAGAAACAAGTGATTAACCAGCTTATTGAATACAAGCACAGACGTTAAAATTTTAAAATTGTGCTTAATTTATCTTGTTTAAGACAAGCTTTCAGATATTGGAAATGGACATGCTCAGGTTAGGGTAAGATTATAAGATCCGAAAAGCTCGATTACAGTTCCTTTGATAAGCATAAAAAGCTGATCTAAACATGGGCTAAAGGAAGTGCGTGAATTAGAGATAAAATTATGACTAGTAAACAAACAAATTATCTTATGATGCTACAGTTGAAATGAACGGAAAAACCCAATAAATCAGAAGGTTAATTTTTAAACTCTTAAAATTTGATGCATGTTACTTATTTACAGTAAATTTGCTCTTTGATGAAGGGATACCTCAAGGAAATATTGGATCGAACCGCAAGCAGTTGAAGTTGATGGGATCCCCCTTCAAGGACTAAATCTACCAGATCAGGTGTAGATCTGGCTACGCCGCTCAAGTGGAAGAAGGTAAGAAGTAGAAATCACCCGAAATCCCCACCGTTGCTGCTAGATCTGGCTACGCTCAAGTGGAAGAAGGTAAGAAGTAGAAATCACCCGAAATCCCCACCGTTGCTGCTAGATCTGGCTACGATACCGCAAATAACCCATGAATGGTCGCTGAGGGCCCAAAATCCCAGTTTTCTCTTCCCCCGCCTTACCAAAGATTACAGACAGAGCACTGGAGACGCCAAGAGACGGAGAAATGGGGAAGACTGAAGAGAACGAAGAGGCGGTGAAGGAACCCTCTGGATTTCCCAGTTTTCTCTCCCCCCGCCTCGAAAAACACCCAGCGAATTTTTTATGGCTGTTTATCACATTTCCGAGTTATTTTCAGGCCAAATGGAGCTGAAAACACAAATTCCCAAAGTCCTACGTGGCACACGTTTTCAAGGCCCCATTTCTTTAAATCAGATTGTGAAACGAACAGGTGAAATGGAAATCACCAGAAACCTTCTTCCTATGTGGCAGCAACATTTGTTTTCATTTCCCAGTTTTCCACCTTTTTTTGGGCCAAACGAACATGCCCTAAAAACAGAACTCATATTCAAGACACATAACTCATTTTCTTAGTGTTTAGATATTGTTAGGATATCACTCGTGTATCTTGACCTCGAATTTTTTAAGCGCAATTTTGTTTTTAAGTGAAAATTTCACTGGAAGCTGATTGATTGCAACAAAAACTCACTTATAAGATAGTTTATGTATAAATTAAAAATGAAATGCGGTTTACATATAGTTACCCTATTTTTAAGGTGGTTTCTAGGGGGAAAAACCTTCATTATGACAAACCTAAGAAGCATTTCATAATTTATAACAAATGTTTTTACAATTTATAGTACTTTAGAGCTTATGATAGAAATAAAATTATAAATATCTCACAGCCTCACTTCGGGTGAAACTAATTCGGTTAGTTTATATTAAAGAGATTTGTTCATATAATTCTAAATAGACGTATTGGATAAACTCTTCTTCATTTGGTGTTTGGAAATATAAACCTCCTGAAAAACGCCTTGCATGTAATCATAGTGTTCTTTAGTAAAAGTGGAGCGTTTTGACCCCAACTTACAAGTGTTTATAATATTTTTTTGATTATTTTTACTTGGAGATAACCTAGTTTTTTTCCCTCAGACTTCCCAAAATGTCCCACCTTATATGTGTTGCTCATAAAATAATATATGTTCATAATATTTTTGAGGTCTTCTGGTAAAAAAAACTTTTGTAAATAAATCTGGGTAAATTCTAGTGAAAGTCATGAATTTTAGGGTGAACTGTGTAAAAATACCGGAAATTGTCCTCGGAATTTTTCTAATGTTTATGAGAGTTTTGTGAAAAATTCCTTAAAATTTGGGGAAGGAAGGGTTACTAATTTTAAAGTCCATGGTTATTTCGTACAAATTACTCCAAAATTAAGGGTTTTTTTTGTGAAATTTACCCAATATATTAAATTTGTCGAGGGAGCTTAGAGAAATATATTTATGCTTAGGAATTAAACTGGAAAACTCGTAAAAAACAAAGACAATCTCTGTGTTTGCTAAATTTCTTCCCAAATCCAGGTTTAGGGTTTTAGGCATTCGAATTCTACTCCTCTCGATCTCCTATCAGATCTTCCAACTCATCGATCAGCTCACAAATCATGGCAAAAGAAAATTCCAACGATGCTTCTTCATCCAAGAAGAGAAAGGGTTTGGAGATCGAGGGTTACCCAATCGAAGGGCTTTCGATTGGAGGGCAAGAGACTTGCGTCATATTCCCAACGATGAAGATGGCGTTCGACATCGGACGATGCCCTCAGCGAGCCATTGCCCAGGATTTCCTCTTCATCTCTCATGCTCACATGGATCACATTGTAAGATTCCTAGTATCCAGGGTTTTATATAAATGTCGGTTCTTGGATTCAAGACTTGTAAGTTAGCACGATAGGGGGAAAAATAGAATAAACATGAATTTCGTGGATTCCTTGCTTGTTTGCATTGCTTAACCAAGGGGTTTTCTCTTCATATCCGCGGTCACATATACCACATTATAAAATTTCTATTCTCTAGGGTTTATCTCGATGTATTTTGAATCGGGAGCATGTTAATAGTAGGTGAGAATTGAGAATTTTGGGAGTTTATGATGATCTCAACGTATCTTGGTTGGAGGTGTTGAATTGCAAGGCTTCTCTAGATAACTTAGAGACATTTGCTTGATGGCATAGTTATATGGGTATATGGGTCAGGTTTTGTTAACGAGTAACCGCAGATACAGCCCTATACTATGAAGGCGCAACCACTTATACCAATTGAATTTTTGTAGTAGCACTTACATCCAGTTAACTCTGGATGGCCGTATTTCTCATGTTTGGTTGAGATGTTATGTGAGAATCACGCGACAATAAATTTATCTTTTGCCCTCAGTTCAGTGGGCAAAAAGTAACAATGTCCAAGTCTCAAGAGGTATAAAAGTTAATAAAATAGTTTAGAGAGTATAAGTGGTTACACCACCATAGTACATGGGGTGCTTTTGCAGTTAAAACCCTTTGTTAAAACGCATCTGAAAAAGTATGGGACTCAGCATATATTGGAAACTAGGTTACCTGGGCACTTCATTTTGGGTGATGTGTCGGTGTTGTTGGACACGGATTCACTGCGGACGCGCTATGGACACGTGTGGTTCAAAGCAAACGATTTCCCATCGCTAATAACCCTAAACCAGTTTCTTTGGTATGTAGAGCTGAAAATCAACAGGTTTTTGAACACGAAAATTGAAGCCATTACTTAAAGATTTGAAAAATACCTATCATATCCGATGCTACAAAAACTAACCTTTGTTGCTAAACCTTAATTATTTGTTTGGTCTAATTGAATTCTTAATTGTTAGATATGGTAAAATAAACATACAAATGTTTTGTGTATTTTAATTTAATATTTGATCTATTGTAATTATTGTACATGTGTGTGTGTGTCTACGTGTCCCCGTATCCTGCCTTTTACGAATTTGCTGTGTCCCGTATTCGTATCCATTTCCGCACCCGCACCCACACCCGTATCTACGCAAACATAGATTGGAAATGGTTGTAGGGCCTAGTGTTTTCCCAATGATGGAAATGCCTTACTTCCCTGAGAGGAGTTTCCATATCAATAGGAGACATGTCTAAGTATGCGGCGTGCATGTAATTTATTACGTGATTATAAGAATTCATTCTTATCTCCATTATGAGAAAAAATGGTCAATGTGTTACTGAGGGTCTTACCATTTTAGCTGTAAATAAGCGAATCGTTATTTCTTTGTTAGTGAAAGTACAAAAGTTGAGGTTTTAACATCTAAGTTCGCATGTTTAAGATGATCTATTAGTTTCCCAATTGATTGGCAATGTGCATTCATTTGGAATTGATTGTATATTTTATCTGACAGGTTTAAGGTATCTTGGAAAATTGTAGGTTTGATGTGGAGGGGTTTGCTAACTGAAGAGCGTTTATAGATATTTGATAAAGAGTAGAATTAGCCTTTATATAGGTTCAAATTTGTTAAAACATATCTGAGAAATATTGGTTTGGTCAGTTGTTGTGAAAGAGCCCGCTAAAAGCCCTGCCGAAGCCCCTATTTCAAAACCTTAAAGATTTTTATATTTGTGCATACCATCTTCTCTCATTGATATCTATTGCTCCCGCTCTCTCTGTCCGCAACATTGGACTGGTTAAGGGTTAGAAGCAATTATTGTCTAGTGTGGCTAGCCATGAAAGTATACATATTTAGGTTGCTCTTTCCTTACTTGGGTTCCATGCCAAAAGAAAGATGCCAATACAGAGTTAGCATATTCAATTGTGCTGTATGCATAATTCATGTGATGTCTTTGTTATCACCCAAAAAAGAAAAAGAAGAAGAAGAAAGAAACGTCAACATAGTAGCAAGGGTTTAATTTCTAAATCAGTTGATAACTCTTTTAGGTTGCAGTGATTATCATTAACATTTTGGGTTTTTTTGCATATATACCCATTAAAATAATTCAAATTTGCAAAATTACCATAATTCATCAACATTAGAAAAATACCTCCACTTAACATTGTCACAGAATATTCCGAGAATATTCATTTTTTTGTTTAATGTAATATACTTGATTAACTATTACTAAACTACCCCCAGCCCCCAATATTAATTAATCCAATTCCCAAATCAAAGCATTAGTTGTCATTTCATTGGAATCACACCTCAAATCAGATCATAATCCTTGGGCTATCTTCTTCCTTCAATATTCCATGGCTACCTACATGCTCTATGGAGTTGAAAAGCTCTAAGTACTGAGCACCAAACCCCCCAAGCAGGTTGAGCTTCTTGGTCTTCTTGTGAAAGACCCACAAATTAACCAATTATGTACTAGCACAAGCAATCATGAAGCAGAAAAAGAAAAGAATTTGTAAGGAGTAGGGGTGCATTTGGTCCGGATACGGCTCGGATATGATGCTTACCATATCCATATCCGCTTACCCATCTCGGATACGGATACGGATACAGATATACATCGGTAAGGAAATTTTATAACCATATCCGCTAAAATCGGATACGGTTACAGATATACATGCGGATATATAAGTGGATATGCATGCAGATACAAAACAGATATGATAAAACCAGATAGTATTGAGAAAAACATAGTTCATGTGATACAAAAGAGTTCGTTAATATGCCCATTATAATTGAAAAGTTAAAATTAGACATCTTGATCATCAAAATTAACCACAAATCCATAATCTAAGAATAAAAACTATCGTAAGAGTATGACTAATATGTATTCGGATATTTCGGATACGGATACAGATATTTCACTACAAAACCATATCCATAACCATATCCTATCGGTTATAGATTTGAGTAACCATATTCGTATCCTAACGGATACGGTTACGGATATTTTCTCGAATACGGATACGGTTTAGCACCCCTACTGAAATGACATTTCCTTGTAAAGTATCTCTGCCTAAAAGCTGTTATTGTCTGATAATTGCTTGTATATGACTAATATGTATTCGGATATTTCGGATACGGATACAGATATTTCACTACAAAACCATATCCGTAATCATATCCTATCGGTTATAGATTTGAGTAACCATATTCGTATCCTAATGGATACGGTTACGGATATTTTTTCGAATACGGATATGGTTTAGCATCCCTAGTAAGGAGACATATTAATGGAAGAACCTCACCTCCATTGATCAAACAATCAACCCAACAACTATCACTTCTTTTGTTGACCTTAATTTGAGTGGAATGAAAACCCAACCAAGAAATAAAATCAAAGAAATCAAATCCAACTCCTTCAAAACCTCCCCGTATCTATTGAAGAAAAAGACTGCAGCCACTTCTCCAGCATCCTGTGTTGGCATTGACAACAGAGCCATTGCTGTTGTTTGGAGACAAAGGAGGAGTGGAACCGTTCACAATTGGATGATTCCTTACTCCTTGATGTCGAGGGATCGGCGGACGTATTAAGGTAATGGGAGCAGTGGGACGACTACTGGAAAGGGGGTGGGGTTCTTCTGCAGTTAGCAACGCGTTATGGCAAAAGGATCTGACTTGATTAATTGGGGACTAGATAGGTAATTTACATGCCAAGTTTGAAAGCTAACACTATTAAACGGGAAAGGTAGAAAAACCAATGTCAAAGAATTGGAGGGTAAATTTGCAAATACTACAATTTGTGGGGTAAATATACAAATATGGAAGATTCAATGGGTATATATGCAAAAATCCCTACCATTTTTTCGGCACCATTGATGTATATCCACCATTTATGTAAAGAACAACCTCACTTGCAAGGTTAAAGCGTTGGGTTGTTGCTTAACAATGTATATAACTAATGTGATCCTTAAGATTACCCCTCCCCTCGTGTTAGTCTTTAAGCTGCATGGAAAAGCCTCTTTGAAACACACTTGGAGAGAGACTGAATTATGGTATACAGATGTATTTTAAGTTTGAGAATCATGTGGATTGAACCAGGACCTGTTGAAATTTGATGCTCGTTGAGATCCAGTTTACATGAAACTTAAGCACAATGTACATGAAGCTAGAATAGTGCATGTCAAACATTATTCTCAAACCACTACATTGTTTTAATTTCTTATTGAATGTCTCAATGAGAATTATCAACAATTTATGGTCTTAACATTTTTCTCTCGATATTTCAGGGAGGCCTGCCCATGTATGTTGCTACCCGAGGCTTGTACAGCATGAAACCTCCAACTATTTTCGTTCCAATATCTATAAAGGAGATAGTAGAAAAGCTTTTTGAGGTGCACAGAGCAATGGACCAATCTGAATTAAAGCACAATCTTGTAGGCTTGAATGTAGGTAATGTCCTACCCTATCTAACTTTCTCTTATGTCATCTTCTTGTTGATAATTTGCAAGCAGTAGAAGAGAACTCTTGAACTTTGATTCTGCAGGAGAAGAGTTTCAGATAAGAAAGGACCTTAAGGTGAAAGCTTTTAGAACTTATCATGCTATTCCTAGTCAGGTGAGGCCATGAGGACAGTTAGTTATTAGTGTATTTATTGCTCAGGAGATTTAATGTAAAAGTGCCTCTTTTCTGGTTCAATTTTCAAGAAGATGGTATAATTTTGCAGGGTTATGTCATATATTCTGTGAAGCAGAAACTTAAGCAGGAATATGTTGGTCTTTCTGGCAATGAAATCAAGAACTTAAGATTGTCAGGTGTGGAGGTCTGTTTTTGTAGATATTTCATATGACATCAACCACAGTTACTACACTATAGTTTTAATACTGTTGAAAAGGCTAAAGTTAGTTTGAGAATGAAGGTGCAATCTTTATTATTTTCTTTTTTGACTATTGTACTCGCAGATTACTTACACTGTCACATCACCTGAAATTGCTTTTACGGGAGACACAAAGTCAGATTTTATTGTTGACCCAGACAATACTGATGCTTTAAAAGCGAGGATTCTCGTCATGGAGGTATCTATTGTATTCATCATACATACTTTTTTTCAATGTTTTTTTGATGCCATGTGACTTTTGAGTAATGAGATGAACTTGGTAAAGAGAAGATTATTTCCATATTCTTAGTGGTTTCACGTGTTTTATTGCCAAATTTGTAATTGCACATACTTTCTTATGATCGATATTGTTTATATTGATGTTGATAGAAAGACAATTGTGTGCCTTTCTGATAATGATGTACCTTACTTATTTCTTGGTAGAACTGTAATTGCCAGCCACTTGAAGATTATTGAAAATAATCATTTAATTAATAACTGATGGTTGCTGGCGTTTGTGAATATGGCTTATTCTTTATTATAGTTGTAGATTCATTTCGTGCTCTCCCGTTGAGGAGTTGCATCTTTGTTATGCATGCTCCCTAAATCGATGATACTTTCGTATGGTAACAAGGAAGACAATTTGATTTCACCCATCAGCATGGTTTGCATAGCTGTTGATTTCTGTCAGTTAACATGAATCTGCATAGCTCTTGACTTTCCGCATGCTTCTATTTTTGAAGGCCAGTTAGACATAATTTGAAACTTAAATGCAGAGTTCATATTTTATATGCTGAAGTAGGCAGACATTTTAATCTCAATATTCCTTGGTTGTAAAAGAATGTACTGTTGCATTTTCTAGTATTTCTTCAAGGCAAACGATATCCTTCAATCATCCTACAATCAAGCCCCGATTATATGAGCAAACATTCTTCAAATATACTAGCTTCGATGAAAGATCTTTAGAGAAGAAATTAGATTAGCTTTGGTGGAGGATGAATTTCCACCATGGCACCCAAAAAAAAGTAAATAATTACTGTGGTTAGCTTGAGTCATCATGAGATCCTGTTGAATAGAATTAAACAACCCTATGCAGAAGTAATATGTGTAAAGCTTCTGTTACATTCATTCAAACAATTTTGCCAGTTAACAGGCATAAGTAAACTGATTATCCCACTACTTGTGTCCCAATCTTAGGGATCATATCAACCAGTTCTGGCAAACTCTAATTTAGTGTTAGTTTTTAACTTTAGGTTCATTATATAATCTGTTAATTTTCTAAGCTGATATAGCCTTTCATGCTATTTATCTTCTCTCATTACTTTTTGGATTAAGCTGATCTTGATAGTTTATCTTTCATATTTCATAGAGTACTTTTGTTGATGATGCAATGTCAATACAGCATGCAAGAGATTTTGGTCACACCCACTTGTTTGAGGTTACTTCTTCGGACTCTTTCAATGTCTCATGGATTTTTTGTAAAGCGAGGCTGCATGAGCTCATAATTTGACTTTTGCTATTTGTTTAATATTTAACAGATTGTGAACTATGGTGATTTGTTTCAAAATAGAGCTATCCTTCTTATCCATTTTTCAGCTCGATACCGACTGGACGTAAGCAAACATTCTTTTAATGACAAATATTAACGATCTTAAATTGGTACCCTTCACTATCATTCAATCTACTGGATTTAATTCTTGAAGTAAACATCCTTCTTTGACATAAGACTTTCCTGACATATTCTCATGCAACTGAATTGGTTGTTTGTCATTTTTTCCTTCACATGTGCAATGCGCAGTTTGATTTTGTTTCGTATAGAACTATCAATTGGGTTTTTTCTTGCATAATTTTCCTCATCTCTGTCGCTCACAAACACACAAATATACATATATAGTCTTTAACTTTTGAAGTCATAGAATTATCAGGTTAGCTTGACGCCTCTCTAAATTATTTTATTAGCATTTACACTCCCAGCTCTAGACAATATTATTTCTCTTGTTAGAGTGAGATGTCATGTGAGAATCACATGACAATAAAAAGTACCGTTTGCCCTTAGTTTAGCTAAAAAAGACTAAAATCACCTTCTAAATCGAGGGGTAAGAAAGTGACATTGCATAAGATTTTGGTAACTGGCTATTCACCATTGTACATGTGGGATATATTTGCAATTAACCATGCTGATATCTTGCCATGCACTTTAAGCAACATTGGAACTTAATACTCTCTCTTTTTGCGTCTTCAGGACAATGGAGAAGTCGCCAACATTAACATGACTCTTAAAGAGTAGACCAAATAAGGGTTAATAATTATTTTAAATTGCAATAATGATGTTTAAACCCGAAGAACTTTTGTAGTATGTTTCTCTAGGAACTGGCTATCCACCATTGTGCATATGGGATATATTTGCAATTAACCATGCTGATATCTTGCCATGCACTTTAAGCAACACTAGAACTTAATACTCTTCTCTTTTTCTTCAGGACCATGGAGAAGTCTCCAACATTAAAATGACTTTTAAAGAGTAGAACAAGTAAGGGTTAATAATTATTTTAAATTGCAATAATGATGTTTTACCCCTAGACCTTTTGTTGTATGTTTCTCTGGTATTGTATCAGAAAACTATTTTATCTGAAAACTTAAATTGTTGAATTCTGGACTAGCAATGAACAAACAGTGTTTATTAAACTGAGTTAACTTGTGAAACTAGTTTCATGTTGTATGGTTGTCATGTCGATATTTGTGTAGTTAAGCACAATTCTGATTCTGAAGGGTTTAATTTATTAGATTTCTTGGTTTTCAGGAAATTGAGGCAGCTATCTCTAAGCTTCCTCCATCTTTATCCAGTCGAGTTTTTGCTCTAACAGAAGGCTTCTGATGCGAAGCAATCCATGGTTGTATCATGCGAAGAGCCATAATATGGAATTAGCAATTCCTTGCGCCCTCATGTAAACCAATTCTAAATTGTTGAATTCTGGACTAGCAATGAACAAACAGTACTTATCTATATATTATATATACAAGATGGTGTACTAAATTATGATAAGTTTGAGAAATATACAACTTATCTTGGTGCATTGAATTGTGAATATGTGATGCACTTTGATCCCTAAAACGAAAAAGCATTATGCTAAGGACTGGTTCTTTGTCTAAACTTCTCTTCAGATCCTTTCTTCTTCTTCTTCTATCTTTTGATAGAATCTTCATTTAGATCCTTACTTATAAAGATATGAAATACTACCAAAAAAAAACTATCTTGTACTGCATAACATAAAATTTAAGGAACAACTTAAGAAATAAATACCAAGGTTAAAGGTTAGAAGAGTGAAAAATTGATGACACCTCCTTATCTACACCATATAGGTTATTCTGCCAGATTATGCGATCTAATATGATATAAATGAGAATGAAGATTTTAAAAATACCAAATTTAAAGATTATAGGAGTGAAAATTTGATAGTGAAGGGTATTAAGAATTTAAGAGGCATTCCCACATACCATACGTCTGCAGCTTATTGAGGACTATATATATTTCTAGAATTTTACTTTCCTAACTCACATGTATCCATGTTCTTCTATATTTTGGCTAACCAGCAAAATTAATAGAAATACGTGAAATTCTTATTACATACTTCATGTTCTCTTGAAGCTACTGCCACGAAGAAACACGAAAGACATAAATGTGAAATCTTTGCTAACCAGCAAATTATTAGAAAGAATACAACGAAACAAGTTGCGACGAACTCAACCCAACCAAATGAAATACGTGGAAACTCCTACGGTAGCTTCCTTATTCTTCTCTACCGCCATCACCTCCTCCCTACACACACTTCATATTCTCTATGACCTACTACCGTAAAATAAGAACATAACAAATAAACACAAGGTATCAATTAACATATTTCTTCTTTCTAACTCTTGTTTGCTTCTTCCCGATCTTTCGATCTGCTCCGGCTGCAATCAACATGGTTCGCCGACCTTGCAGTTGAGCGCGCCTACGTGGCGAGTGAGCCTACGGACGAACGTTCCAGGCTTCGCCTTGAACACGTCGTACCTGGAGAAGTTCTTGGTGACGTCGGAGGAGCTACTCACTCCCGACGCGTTGAAGTAGGCGCCGTTCAGGAAAATATCCCCTTCGGAAGTCCAGTTCCATTCTTTCCACTCCCATTCCGCAGCATAATCCCTATGGCAGACCTGATATGCGTGCACGCATGTTAGTTATATATCGGATCCAAATTTGTTGTGTAACTCAGTGTTGTTTATCAATATGCAAGGCGCAATGCGGTGCAAGGTCCCTTGACGCGCACATGCGCAAGGTGCAAAGCGATTTGTGCGCTCAAGTGATCAAGCGAGCTGCACGCCGCAAGCGAGGGGTGCTTATGAATTTTCACATGCATGAAAATATATCAAGATAAATAATATCTACTACCAAATTACAAAATAAGGAATTCTTAATGTTACCGCATCCAACATAGTAGCATGTTCATACTTTTCCAAATTAGGAAAAGTCAAATCAAGACCAATATGGAAACAAATCAAATATTAAAGCATGATTAGTTCGGGTCCTAAATCGAGCTACTAAGAAGGTCTAATGGGTTTATTTTATTTTCTAGGATATGAGTTATTGGGTATAAAGTCCAAAAATATATGAAGCTATGTCTTGCATGCAACCTACAAGCCAGGGTGATTGCAAGACGCAAAAAGCACTACCGCATTAGATGTGGTGCGTTTTGCCACCGCCTCGAATTGCTAGGCGCACGAGGAGCAATGACACACACTTTTGAGTATAACTATCTATCTATGAGTATCCTTATGCGTACATATATGCAGTATATATACGTATGTATATATACAATAGACAAGTTTTGAGGTTTATGTGCTCTGAGAAATGATTAGTATAGTTGAAATATATGCGTTCATACGTACGTACCGCTTTAATGAAACCAGCGCTGTATCTGTTTCCTTGGCTGATCATAGTTGGATGCTCACTACCACCAATTGCAGATAATCCCCATTCGTTGTAGTCATTATTGACAATGTGCACGAACCCGTACCGACCCCTGGGCATCCTCTGCCTACACTTTGCTCCGAACCGGTTGAATGCAACTGTCACTTGCATGACGCTATCGTTCTGGTGCGCCTTATCGGCTCCCAACAACATGACCTTGTCGTGTTCCGTGAAGTAACAGTTTGAGACTGTCACGCCTGTTGATGCCCATATCACGTCGATGAGCCCGTCGTCGCAGTTTGACATCGTCAGATGATCGAGCCATACATTCGACGCGCCAAAGATCGAGATCCCGTCCCCGTCGCTCTGCGTCCGCAGGCCCATGTGTGTTAGGCTGTCGCGTATTATCCCTCCCTCCTTGGAGACGATATGGTGGATGTGGATGTTGTGGATGATAACGTTCGTAACGAACTGGATGGTGATCCCCGCGCCGTGGGCGATCTCGACTTTGGCGCCCCGGCCGTCGATGGTCTTCCAGCTGTTGATGATGAGCTCTTCCTTAAGGCTTATGACCATGTCTCGTTCGAATATGATCCACAGGGGCTTATCTTGGATGACTCCCCACCGTAAGGTGCCCTCCTTAGGATTCTCCATGTCGTCATCGGAGTCGTCGGTCACGACGTAGATCTCACTCTTCTTGCCCCCACCATAGGCTTTGCGGCCAAACCCCTTGCCGCAGTTTGCCAGACGCTGGCGGTCTTCGGCCCAGTTGGCGCGGCACCGAAAGCAGCGGTCGATCGGGTTGGTGGCTTTACATGAGCCCCCCTTCAGTAGGCCTCTCCTTGTGCTATTCTTGTCCATTGACCTGCATATGATTCGTTCTCGTCAAACGTACGTACATACATACACATATGCAGATATGTAACCGTGCCAACAAAAACCGATCAGAAAGGAATTATAAGCACTCAGGGAAGGGGGGGGGGGGCTGTTCTTTTCCATTGACCTGCATATGATTCGTTCTCGTCAAACGTACATACATACATACACATATGCAGATATGTAACCGTGCCAACAAAAATTGAGAAAGGAATAATAAGCACTCAGGGGGGGTAAAAGAAAAAGAAACTAAGATTTGACAATCAATTACTCACTTGTGAACAGCTGCATTGAAAGAGCTTGTGACAGAGAAAGGGTCAGGAACATAAGTTGCTCTTGCAATTTCTTGGGCTTGTATCTCCCTCCTCCTCCAATACTCCTCATCAGTCTCTCCAATGACAAAGGCTAAAAATGAGACAGAGAAAACAAAGGATATGAGCCAAGTATACTTCATCTTCTTAATTTTTTTTTTAAAACCTTCTCTTAGTTTTTTCCCCCGTCTCTTATTTTACTTTCTTAAGGCCAAAGGGATCTCCATGACAATGGTTAGACTAAACAAGCCATTGTAATGCAAGAGACGGTAAAAATGGAAAATACCCAAGAGAGGAGAACGGATGTTCCTAGAACTAGAGACTAAGGAGAGAATCTGGAGGATAGCGCAAGATATATTCAACATAGACACATATAGTATAAATGTAGCGGGGGGGGGGTGGGGAGGACTTGGGTTATGGACAGAGTGATTGAGGTTAATTTCGTAGGAAACACAAACATTGAAAGGTTTTTGATAGAATTACACCTAATAATATTATTGTTGTGACAGACGGCGGCGCCGAGGAACCAAAACAAACGCCGATCAAAGAAGGCCAAAAACAACCAAATATCAATGCACAAACCCAAACACCAATTTTAACGTGCTTCAGCAATTGCCTACGTCCACGGGGCAAGAAGGGGGAGAGTTTCCACTAATAGAGAAGGAGAGTACAAATTGAGATTACAAATCACTCAAACGAACCAACTAATCTCACCAACAAATCTCTCAACCTCTCAACCAATAACCCTAACCAATACCTCAGAAAGATCTCTCTTTTCTGTGCTCCAAAATCCCCAAATATGCTCCTACAAAACCCTCAAATCGTATTGGTATTTATACCAAAACAGAAACCCAAACAGACTACAAATAAGAACCTGAACTTTCCAAAAAACCCATCGTAAGTCGACTTATCAGTCTGCATAAGTCGACTTGGCAGAGCGAAAAACGACAACTGGAGAAGAGTTCATAAGTCGACTTATCAGACCTGATAAGTTGACTTGCCAGAGCCCAAAATCAACAATCCATAGCAGATCGTAAGTCGACTTACGACACAAACATAAGTCGACTTACCATAAGTCGACTTATGCCTGTGCATAAGTCGACTTATGACCAAAAATCTGTTTTTTTCAAGTTCTTCTCTATAATTCTCCACCTCGGCGAAGTTTTCCCAAAACTGAGCCGACACCAACCAAACAAATACCTCACATGTTGAGACCAAAATGGGAGTGCGAACACTCACCCCAAATGTCGATGTCGCTCACCAAATCGGCTGCATCATAAAGACTGCCTACGTATCCTCTTGCCAAAGGAATCAAGCCTTCACGTAGTTCACCCAAACGGCCTCCAAAGGCCCTCAAACAAATAAAAAAGTATGCAACTCTTCCCCAATATCGCCGACGGATCTGCAACTGATAGCGGCCCCAAACTGATACAAATCAAACACCTCCATCTGAGGTGAACCAATGGCCGTATCCAAATCATGTCCACCAGCTGCAACCGAATCCAAAACCAATCCATCATCTGCATTCGAAATCAAATGATCCCCAATCCGTGTCACCTCAGCTGGAATCCCAAATGACACAGTATGATCTAGAGTACGTGGAATAATCTCCACCCAACGTGGAGTAGCATCACTCTCCACCTGCTGCGATATCCAAACGACCTGATCAACACTCTCCACCTGCCGAGAGTCAAAAGTGACATACCTGCTCAGAACAAAATCAGAAGCTCCCAAACGATAATCAACTGAGCCTCCGAACCCCAAACGCGCAATCGGATCCAATCTCACATCCACGATGTGACCAAATGCTGGGTATCCAAATATCCGACGCGACCCAAAATCTGAAGCAGCTCCACCAGATCTAATAACTCCTAAAGCAGCAGTCGGCGACCTATGCATAAGATGACCCAAATATGTCGAAGCCCGCACACCAATGCCAATGCTCGACAACCAACGCCGATCCTCCTCCAGAAAGGAACGACCCATCGAAACTATCATCTCATCTCGTCGCCCCAAAGTCTCCACACCAATGAAGTGTCTCCTATTGCCGTGAGGTCGGCCCAAACGCAAGAAAGGACCCCTATCAAATCTAGAACAACGAGTTACCTTTCTGCCAATACACTTCTTCTAATTGTTGTTGACTTCTAGGACTTTACACCAACGGGAACTGGTCGCGACCCAATAATGCCTAGAACAATCATCAACTGCGAAAACTACAAAACGATTACCTTCCAATGATGCCTCCTTAGAAGGCCCCCAAATGCCTAACTGAACACCTCCTAAAAGACCCCTCACTCGATGGATAGGAGTGCCAAACTCCACCTCGGTCTTGCTCATCCCAATGTGCTCACATGACTTCAATCTGCAGGTCATAGCACTCATCAACAACCAATGCACGACATTACCAATCATATACCCCAGCACCAAACAATGCCACAGTCTAGCCGAATGCAAATAGTACAAATTACTCCTTCTGACGCCCTTCATCACAATCATAGACCCAAATGTAACCTTCAAGCGTGCATCTGCTAAGGTCACCCTATAGCCTGCTGCCTCCAAAGCTCCAAGTGAAATGATGTTCTTCTTCAACTGAGGAACGAACCTCGCTCCAACCAACTCCCGAATCACCCGTCACTCATCTTGATCCGAATGGTACCGATACCACCAATAGAGCATTTGTGATCATTCCCCATGAGCACGAAATCCCCTCTTTCCAACTCCTAAAAGCTGGAGAACCAATACCTCCTATGATAAATATGGTATGTAGCCCCCGAATCCAACATCCACTATGTAGAGTAGACAATACAAACTGACGGCAGTGCAGATAATGAGTAGTCCGAAGAATCCGAATCTGAATCGTTGCCACTAGCCTTGACAACATTCGCCTCTGAAGCTTGAATAGCTTTTCCCTTATTCTTCCCGGCTCGATCAACTAACTTTGGGCATTCGGCTTTCCAATGTCCATCCTCTTTGCAAAAGGCACACTGATTCTTACGAACTCTAAGATGTGCCCCTCTAGACTGCGACCTCCCACTACAGTTTGGACCCTTTGCTCTTGCGACCAACGCCCCCGCTACCGGCTCAAACGAAGTCTCCTTATCCTTCTTTTGAAGCTGATGATTCACAAGTGCAGCGGTGACCTCACTATACGAAAGAGATGCCTCCCATTAATAAGAGTAAGAACGAAGGTCTCATATTCCTCGTCGGGCAAGGAACTCAACAATAACAATGCCTTGTCCTCATCTTCAATCACCATATCTACATTCGCCAAATCCGCAAGAAGCTTCGTGTAGTGGTTCATGTGATCACCAATGGATGTTCCTTTCTTCAACTGGAAGCGGTAAAGCCTCCTCTTCAAATGCAAGCGATTCTCCACACTCTTGGTCAAATACTTGCTCTCAAGGATCTCCCAAATCTTCTTTGCAGAAGTCTCATTGATCACATCATACTTAAGATCTTGAGTGAGACAAGACCTAATCACACCACACGCCGTTCGATTCATCCTTTTCCAAACCTTCTCATCAATATTGTCCGGTTTCCTGTCCAACTCCAATGTATCTTCCAAATTTTGCGCGTTGAGCGCATCCATGACTTCGCATCGCTAAAGTCCAAAATTGTTTGTGCCATTGAATTTTTCCACGTCAATCTTCATCGAGTGGATATTCAATCTTTGGACGATCTTCACACCGGAAGTACTGCCCACAACTCCTTCTTTCTCGGCCATAATCCTCAAAACACCACCAAACCAATGCGAAAACAAATGAGAAATAGATCCAAACTGAAAAAGACGAGATTTTTACCAAAAAGATCCCACCTTTATCACCAAACGAAGCCCTAGACGAACTTCCAAAGCGATCTACTCCTCCAAATAGCCCAAGCGTAGCCCGAGCTCTGATACCACTTGTTGTGACAGACGGCGGAGCCAAGGAACCAAAACAAACGCCGATCAAAGAAGGCAAAAAACAACCAAATATCAATGCATAAACCCAAACACCAATTTTAACGTGGTTCGGCAATTGCCTACGTCCACTGGGCAAGAAGGGGGAGGGTTTCCACTAATAGAGAAGGAGAGTACAAATTGAGATTACAAATCGCTCAAACGAACCAACTAATCTCACCAACAAATCTCTCAACCTCTCAACCAATAACCCTAACCAATAGCTCAGAAATATCTCTCTTTTCTGTGCTCCAAAATCCCCAAATATGCTCCTACAAAACCCTCAAATCGTATTGGTATTTATACAAAAATAAAAACCCAAACAGACTGCAAATAGGAACCTGAACTTTCCAAAAAACCCGTCGTAAGTCGACTTATCAGTCTGCATAAGTCGACTTGGCAGAGCAAAAAACGACAATTGGAGAAGAGTTCATAAGTCGAATTATCAGACCTGATAAGTCGACTTACCAGAGCCCAAAATCAACAATCCACAGCAAATCGTAAGTCGACTTATGACACAAACATAAGTCGACTTACCATAAGTCGACTTATGCCTGTGCATGAGTCGACTTATGACCAAAAATCTGCTTTTTTTTAAGTTCTTCTCCACAATTATCACTATGTATATATGAAGTATATTAAACGAAATGACAAAATTTCCCAGTCATTCTTGAGTTTTCTTCCATATGGCTTGGAAGAAATAAGCATATAAAAATAAGGAAGAATTGTGTCAATGCCCCAAATTTCAAAACTCAATGTGCTCCAGCCCCTCATACTTTTTGCAATGTGCTGCACCCCCTATAATTTGAAAACAAATGTGTGCCGGCCCCTCCAGCTTATGATTAACCCATATTTGACCTAAAAACCCAATTTTACCCGTCTTCTCCTTCTCCTTCTCCTTCCTCATCATCTTCTCCTTCTCCTTCCTCATCCTCCTTCCTCCCTCCTCCCGATGATCCTCCAGTCCGTCGCGAACTCTGCATGGGCTCCACCAGCGATCATCTTCCTAGTCTCCTTCTCCTTTCTCATTCTCTCCTCTCTCATCATCCTTCCTCCTTCCTCCCCGGCGATCCAATCCCTTCATCTCCACTGCTCTCTTCACTCTCTACGCTGTCGGCAACTCTCGCGCCTCCGCCCGTAGCATGTTCGATGAAATTCATCAACCAAATCTCATCTCAATCACTGCCATGGCTTGTGCTTACTCCACCTCCAACCAACCCTCTGATTCTCTCCGCCTCATTCAGTCTGCAATGTACTCTGGTTTCGCCCTCAATTTAGACGCTCTCACCATCACATTCTCCACCTGTTGCAAGCTTGGGAGATTGAATACATTTATGGAGGTTCATGTGTTTGTTATTAAAGGAGGATATGAGATTGACCTATTTGTAAGTACTGAACTAATTGGAGTTTATGGGGATAAGTGTGAATTATCACTTGCCCACAGACTGTTCAATAAAATTCCTGTTAGAAATGTTGTTGCTTGGAATGTGATTGTTCAGCAGTACATTAAACATGGTTTTCATGAAAAGGCTGAGGAATTGTTTGGAGATATGATGGATATGCATGTGGTTTCTTGGAATACCATGATTTCGGGGTTTTGTCGAGCTGGGTTGTATGCAAAGGCTGTAGCTTTGTTTCATGAGATGAAGTTATCAAAAATGAAGCCTAATGAAGTTACAATGCGTATAGTTCTTTCAGCTTGTTCTGAGTTGGGTGCTTTAGATATGGGCATATGGGTCTCCATGTGTACATATCTAGCCGAGATGTTCCTGCAGTGAGAGGCAATTGTATCTACTTGTATATCTAGCTGAGATATTGAGTGAATTAGTATTTGTTTAAAATTTTATTGTACATAGGCTGTTTTGTTAGCTTGAAAATTATATGTAGTTTGTACATGATTCATTGATAATTGAGAAATAAAAGACTACATGCAAAAATATTCATTTAAAATAATGGATGTATAAATATTCAATTGATAATTGAGAAATAAAAGACTACATGCAAAAATATTCATTTAAAATAATGGATGTATAAATATTCAATAGATTAACTATTAAGTTTTACCTAAGACAAAAAATATTCATTTAAAATAATGGATGTATAAATATTCAATAGATTAACTATTAAGTTTTACCTAAGACAAGTGAACTATAACAAATTAACTATTAACGTTTACATGTTCCATGTTAAGTATAGTGGAGTAACTGTTAATTTTTTTCTTTCAAATGTCAAGTTTTGTTAATTAACTGTTTATTTTTACCTAGTACATGTGAACTATAGCCGATTAATTGTTAATGTTTAGTCGTTTCATATAAGTATAATTGAGTAACTGTTATCTTTATTCTTTTAAATGTTAAGTTTTATGTTGTACATGTAAAATATAGCTGATTAACTATTAACCTTTAGTTGTTCCATATAAAGTATAATGGAGGAGACCGACTACAACATCGACATATTCATGGACCACTATGATTGTGGTTAATGAGCAAGAACATGAAAGAACAAAGGCGGCTGAGCTCTTTCGATGTTAATGGGCTCTTTGATCACTCATGTCTTAAGGGGTGGACTCACTCGTAATTGGATCTTAAATAATTCGAGCATTCAGAAGTTTTTTGAGAAAGGCTATGTGGGTTTGTTGGAGCTAGGATTTATACAAAAGTTTCTTGCAACATTAGAACTAAAAAATTTAGTAAAATATATACTACAAGTTTATTAGAACTAAAAACATTAAACGAAGAAAGTTAAAATTTAATAATTTAAGAGTTAAGGTACATTAATATGTACTTCGTTGGTTTTAATAGTCATATATTAACAATTACTTGATATTTTACATTATATAGTCTTATTCAAAAGTTAACAATTACTCAATTATATTTAAGAAGGACTAGATAAACGTTAACAGTCAGTCAACTATAGTTTATATATATTAGGTAAAACATAACAGTTAATCTACAAAACTTAACATTTAAAAGAATAAAGATAACAATTACTCAATTATACTTATATGGAATAACTAAACATTAACAGTTAATTGGCTATAGTTCACATGTACTAGGTAAAACTAAACAGTTAATTAACAATACTTGACATTTGAAAGAAAAAAAAATTAACAGTTACTCCACTATACTTAACATGGAACATGTAAACATTAATAGTTAATTTTCTATAGTTCACTCGTCTTAGGTAAAACTTAATAGTTAATCTATTGAATATTTATACATCCATTATTTTAAATGAATATTTTTGGTCTTAGGTAAAACTTAATAGTTAATCTATTGAATATTTATACATCCATTATTTTAAATGAATATTTTTGCATGTAGTCTTTTATTTCTCAATTATCAACTGAATATTTATACATCCATTATTTTAAATGAATATTTTTGCATGTAGTCTTTTATTTCTCAATTATCAACGAATCATGTACAAACTACATATAATTTTCAAGCTAACAAAATAGCCTATGTACAATAAAATTTTAAACAAAGACTAATTCACTCAATATCTTAGCTAGATATACAAGTAGATACAATTGCCTCTCACTCCAGGAACATCTCGGCTAGAGATGTACACATGGAGACCCATATGCCCATATCCAAAGCACCCGACTCAGAACAAGATGAAAGAACTATACACATTATAACTTCATTAGGCTTCATTTTCGATAAGTTCATCTCATGAAACAAAGCTACATCCTTTGCATACAACCCAGCTCAACAAAACCCCGAAATCATGGTATTCCAAGAAACCACATGCCTATCCATCATATCTCCAAACAATTCCTCAGCCTTTTCATGAAAACAATGGTTAATGTACTGTTGAACAATCGCATTCCAAACAACAACATTTCTAACAGGAATTTCATTGAACAGCCTATGGGCAAGCGATAATTCACACTTATCCCCATAAACTCCAATTAGTTTAGTACTTACAAATGGGTCAATCTCATATCCTCCTTTAATAACAAACACATGAACCTCCATAGTTGTATTCAATCTCCCAAGCTTGCGACAGGTGGAGAATGTGATGGTGAGAGCATCTGAATAGAGGGCGAAGGCAGAGTATATTGTAGACTGAATGAGGCGGAGAGATTCAGAGGCTTGGT